AAGCAGCAGAAGGGAAATAATAAAGATTAGAGCAGAAATAAGCGATATAGAAAGAATAAAAAAACAGTAGAATAGATCAACAAGACTTAGAGTTGGTTCTTCAAATGAATTAATAAAATTGATAAACCCCTAGGCAGACTTAAAGAAAAGAGAAAGGACCCAAAAAATTAAATCACAAATGAAAAAGGAGGGATAACAACCAATACCACAGAAATACAAACAATTAAAAGAGAATACCATGAAAAATTACATGCCAACAAACTGGGCATCTGGAAGAAATGGACAAATTCCTAGCAATGTACAAACTACCAAAACTGAAACAGGAAGAAATAGAAAATTTGGATAGACCCCTTACCAGCAAAGAAATGGAATCAGTAATCAAAAATCTCCCAACAAACAAGAGCCCAGGGCCAGATGGTTTCCCAGGGGAATTCTGCCAGACATTTAAAGAAGAGTTAACACCTATTCTTCTCAAACTGTTTCAAAATATAGATATGAAAGGAAAATTTCCAAATTCATTTTATGAGGCCAGCATTACCTTGATTGCAAAACTAGACAAATATGCCACCAAAAGGAGAATTACAGACCAATATCCCTGATGAACATGGATGCAAAAATTCTTAATAAAATACTAGGAAATCAAATTCAACAGTACATTAAAAGGATTATTTGCTATGATCAAGTGGGATTTATTCCTGGGTTGCAGGGATAGTTCAATATCCACAAATCAATTACTGGACAGATTAATAAAAAAGGATAAGAACCATATGATCCTTTCCAAAAGATTCAGAAAAAGCATTTGACAAAGTACAGCATCCTTCCTTAATAAAAATGCTCAACAAAGTAGGGGTAGATGGAACGTACCTCAACATTATAAGGGCCATATATGGAAGACCCACAGCTAATCTCTACCTCAATGCGGAGACACTGAGACCATTTCCTCTACGTTCAGGAAAAAGAGAAGGATGTCCACTCTCACCATTAGTATTTAACATAGTACTGAAGTCTTAGCCTTGGCAATCAGACAACAAAAAGAAATAAAATGCCTCCAAATCAGCAAGGAAGAAGTCAAAGTTTCACTGTTTGCAGATGACATGATACTCTAGGTAAAAAACCCAAAAAGACTCCACCAAAAAATTGCTAGAACTCATAAATCCAGCAGAGCTGCAGGTACAAAATCAATGTGCAGAAATCTGTTTCATTTCTCTACAGCAATAATGAAACAGCAGAAAAAGAAATCAAGGAATTGATCCCATTTTCAACTGCACCAAAAAAAAAAAAAAAAAACCCTAGAATTAAACCTAACTAAAAGGGTAAATAATCTGTACTCTTCTAACTATAGATCACGTATGAAAAAAATTGAAGAGGACACAAAGAAATGGAAAAGAATTCCATGCTCATAGACTGGAAGAACAAACATTGTTAAATGTCTATACTTCCCAAAGCAATCTACACATTTAACACAATCCCTATCAAAATTTATCAGCATATTTTACAGACCTAGTACAAACAACCCTAAAATTTATGAAGCCACAAAAGACCCCAAATAGCCAAAGCAATCCTGAAAAATAAAAACAAAATTAAAGCATCATAATTCCAGATATCAAGCTGTATTACAAAGCCGGTAATCATCAAAACAGCTTGGTACTGGCACAAACCCAGACACACAGATCAATGGAATAGAAGAGAGAACCCAGAAATAGACCAACAACTCTATGCAGACCAACAAAGCAGAAAGAATATCCAACGGAAAAAGAGAGTCTCTTCAACAAACAGTGTTGGGAAAACTGGGCAGCTACATGCAAAAAAATGAAACTGGACTATTTCCTTACACCTACACAAAAATAAACTCAAAATGGATGAAAGACCTCAGTGTGAGACAGGAATCCATCAAAATCCTAGAGGAGACCATAGAAACCTCTCTGACATCAGCTGTAGCAACTTCTTATTAGGTGCTGAGGAAAGGGAAATAAAAACAAAAATGAAAAAAAGCTTCTACACAGTGAAGGAAAGAATCAACAAAGCAATCTATGGAATGGGAGAAGATATTTGCAAAGGATGTATCAGATAAAGAGCTAGTATCCAAAATCTATAAAGAACTTATCAAACTCAACATCCAAAAAGCAAATAATCCAGTTAAGAAATGAGCAGAAGACATGAATAGATATTTTCCAAAGAAGACATACAAATGGCTAACAGACACAGGTTCAAAAAAGATGCTCAGCCATGAGGAATTCTTAATCTCAGAAACAAACTGAGGGTTGCTGGAGTGGTGGGGAGTGGGAGGGTGGGGAGGGTGGGTGATAGACATTGGGGAGGGTACATGCTATGGCGAGCGCTGTGAAGTGTGCAAGACTGTTGAATCACAGATCTGTACCTCTGAAGCAAATAATACATTATGTTAAAAAAAAAGAAGAAGAAGAAGATAGCAGGAGGGGAAGAATGTAGGGGGAGAAATCGGAGAGGGAGACGAACCATGAGAGACTATGGACTCTGAAAAACAAACTGAGGGTTCTACAGGGGAGGGGGGTGGGAAGATGGGTTTGCCTGGTAATGGGTAATTAAGGAGGGTATGTACTGAATGGAGCACTGGGTGTTATAAGCAAACAAGAATCATGGAACACTACTTCAAAAAGTAATGATGTAATGTATGGTGATTAACATAACATAAAAAAATGGAAAAAAAGATTAAAAAAAAGATGCTCAGCCATCACTTGGCATCAGGGAAATACAAATCAAAATCACCATGAGATGCAAACTCACAGAAGTCAGAATGGCTAAAATAAACAAGTCAGGAAACGACAGATGTTGGAGAGAATGTGGAAAAATGGGAACCCTCTTACACTGTTGGTGGGAATGCAAGCTGGTGCAGCCATTTTGGAAAACAGTATGGAGGTTCCTCAAAAAGTTGAAAATAGAGCTACCTAGAACCCAGCAATTGCACTCTTTGGTATTTACCCAAAAGATTAAAAATACAGATTTGAAGGGGTATGTGCACCCTGATGTTTAGAGAAGCATTATCAAAAACAGCCAAGGTATGGAGAGACCCTAAATGTCATCAACAGATGAATGGATAAAGAAGATGTGGCATAGGGGTGCCTGCGTGGCTCAGTTGGTTAAGCGACTGCCTTCAGCTCAGGTCATGATCCCAGGGTCCTGGTATCAAGCCCTGCATCGGTCTCCCTGCTCAGCGGGAAGCCTGCTTCTCCCTCTCCCTCTGCCTGCTACACCACCTGCTTGTGCTCTCTGTCTCTGTCAAATAAATAAATAAAATCTAAAAAAAAAAAAGATGTGGCATATATACAATGCAATATTACCCAGCCATTAAAAAAATGAAATCTTGGGCGCCTGGGTGGCTCAGTTGGTTAAGCGACTGCCTTCGGCTCAGGTCATGATCCTGGAGTCCCGGGATCGAGTCCCACATCGGGCTCCCTGCTCGGCGGGGAGTCTGCTTCTCCCTCTGACCCACTTCCCTCTCGTGCTCTCTATCTCTCATTCTCTCTCTCTCAAATAAATGGGTAAAATCTTTAAAAAAAAAATGAAATCTTCCTATCTGCTAGGATGTGCATGGAGCTTAAGTGTATTATGCTAAGCAACATAAGTATTGTATTATGCTAAGCAACAGAAGTGTTCACTCGTATGTGGAATTTAAGAAAGAAAACAGATGAATATATGAGAAGGGTGGGGAAATGGAAAAAGGGAAACACACTAAAAGAGACCCTTAAGTATAGAAAACAGACTGAGGGTTGATGGAGGGAGGTGGGTGATGGGTATTAAGGAGGGCACTTGGAGACACCTGGTTGGTTTGGTCAGTTATGTGTCTGACTTCAGCCAGGTCATTATCTCAGGGTCCTACAATTGAGCCCTCACCAGCCCCTTCCAGCTCACTGGGGAATCTGCCCCTCCCTCTCCCTTTGCCCCTCCGCCAAGTGGTGTGGGTGTGCTTTCTCCCTCTCTCTCAATTAAATAAAATCTTAAAAAATACAAAAAAAGAGGGCACTTGTGGTTAGCACTGGATGTTGAATATAAGTGATGAATCAGCCAATTCTATTCCCAAAACCAATAATGCACTGTATGTTAACTAAAATTTAAATTTAAAAAGTATTCAACAACATTAATCTCTACAGAATGCAAATTAAAATGATAATGAGATATCACTTCTTCCTAGTAGAATGTTTGCTATGATAAAATAAAATAATAATAATAATAATAATAATAATAATAATAATAACAATACATGCAGAAAATAACAAGGTTTGCCAAATACATGAAGAAACTAGAACACTTCTGCAATGGTGGTGGTTTATAAAACTGTGCAACTCCTATGGAAAATAGTATAGTGGTTCCTCAAAATAAATTAAAATAAAATTACTATATGATCCAGTACATCCATTTCTGGACATATGTCCAAAGAATTGAAAGAAGAGTCTCAAAGAGATACTAGTATACCCTTGTACACCCAAACTCATAGCATCAGTATTCAAAATAGCCAAATGACCATGAATGGATAAAAGGATAAACAAATGTGACATATTCATATAATGAACATTTATTTGTTATAAATGGAAAGAAATCCTGTTACATACTATCATATGTATGAAATTTTAGGACATTATGCTAAGCGAATTAGGCCAGTCACAAAAAGACAAATACTGTATAGTTCTACTTATATAAGTTACCAAAATTAGTCATATTCATAGAGAAAAAAAGGTAAAACTGTTTACCAGGGCTGGGGGTAAGAAGAAAAGAGGAGTGTTCTTAAAGACAGATTTTTTTGTTTTTTAAAATGAAAAAGTTTTGGACATCCACTGCACCACAGTGTAGATGTACTTAATATTACTGAACTATCCACTTCAAAATGGTCATGATGGCAAATTTTATGTGTTTTTACCACAATAAAAAAATATACTGTTATAATTATTGCTGATCCAAAAGACAAAAGACTTATAAAAGGTGTCAGAAAATTAAAAAGAGACATTAAGATAAAGAAGAAGAAATACCGTTTCTTTCATCTGGATTTGATTGATCTTTATCTTGAAGAGTTTGTGTTTGAATTCCTCATTACAAAAAAATTTGTCACCATCTTCCACATCTTTGCCCTTGGGATTTTTTATGAGAACTCTAGCTCTGCCGCAAGCTAATGACTGTAGAGTTCTTCTTAGTTCTCTATCCTCTGAATGAAAAAAAAAATGCTTAGAATTTTTTAAATCACAGATTTAAACAATTACAATCAATACTTACCTACTCCAGTAGCCACCTTAATTTCTTCTAAGCTGAACTGATCTCCTTCATTAAACATCAACAGCACCAATGTTTGGAAAAGGGTCACCTGAAGTTCTTTTTTGCCCTGTTAGGAACAATATTATATTAACTTACAGAAAAATAACACTTTATTAATGACTCAGGTATGATTTTAGCTACATAAAATACTGTATATGTTGTATTTAAAATATTAATATAATTTGAAAGATAAGTCCTGTGGAAATCAAAATAGAGCTAAAGGTAGGTGAATATTACTAGAAAATAATAGAATTTTCTATTTCCACAAATAAAACACACATTCCACCTTAAACCTCACAACACATTGGATATCAAAAAAAAAAAAAAAAAAACAACACAGAAAAATATTTGGGTAATTATACTCATCATCAGGTAATTCACATTAACATAACTCTGGCTAAATAATTTCCCAATTGCTTCTTTCAGTTACCATTCACTGACAGTAATTATGAAGATTACAAAATTGTACTTCTATTTTAGATCATTCAAAATATTAAACTGAAATCAATTAAATACTTAAATGTAAGACTTGAAAGCTTTAAGCATAGGGGAAAAAACTCCTTGACACTGGTCTTGACAACAACTTTATGGATATGATACCAAAAAAATAAATAAGCATATAGGACTATGTCATAATAGAAGGTTTTTGCACAGGAAAGGAAATAAAAGAAATTTATTCATTGTTCATTTCAACAAAATGAAATGCATCCTACAGAATGGGAGTAAATATTTGCAAGCCATCTATCTGATAAGGGGTAATATCCAAATATATAAAGTACTCATACTACTCAAGAGAAAAAAAAAAAAGCCAAAATAAAAGCTAATTAAAAACAAGCAAAGGGGAAGCCTGGGTGGCTTAGTTAGTTAAGCATCTGTCTTTGGCTCAGGTCATGATCCCAGGGTCCTGGGATCTAGTCCTGCGTCAGGCTCCCTGCTTCACCCTCTCTGTCTGCCACTCCCCTTCACTTGTTCTGTCTCTCAAATAAATAAAGAAAATCTTAAAAAAACAAACAAACAAAGTGCCCCAATAATCATTTTTCCAAAGAAGATATGCAAATGGCCAAAAACTACATGAAAAGGTGTTCAACATCATTAATCATTAGGGAAAGTGAAAATAAAACCAAAATGGAAGTTTCTTGTAAAATTAAAAATAGAACTATCATATAATCCAGCAATTCCACTTCTGCGTTTCTCTTTGAAAGAAAGTAAATCACTATGTCAAAGAAATATGTGCACCCCCATGTTCTTTGCAGCACTATTTACAATCGCTATGACAAGGTAGCAACCTAAGTGTCTATGAAGAGAAAACTGTATAAAGAAAATGTGACAGATTAAATAAATACACAGA